TATTCATTTCTCCTGGACTACCAAGGAAATACTAATAATCGGGCAGAGTATGAGGCCTTAATTATTGGTCTGGAAATCTTGATGGATCTGGGGGCAGTAGAGGTAGAGGTCTTTGGGGATTCAGAGTTGGTAATAAACCAGTTAAATGGGGAGTTCAAGTGCAGACATATTACCATAGCGGGGTATTACTTGGCAGCTACGCAATTATTGAGTTTCTGGGATTTTGAGATATCGGTCAATCATATTCCCAGAGGATCCAACTTAGCGGTTAACGAGATGGCACAGCTAGCCTCAGGAGTGCCAATACATGAGAGAAAATATGGGATAGATGTCGAGATCCAAAGAAGAAACCTTCCTTCCATCTTAGAAAGGGGATTCAGTCTAGATGTAATGGTGCTAGAGGCCGAGATAAAAGATTGGAGGTCACCTATCATTCATCATTTGAATGATCCTTCTTCGCCTACAAGCAAGAAGGATAGACAGCAAGCAACCAAGTATGTCTTATGGGCAAAGAACTTGCTAAGAAAAACTCCAGATGGGTTACTGTTGAAATGCTTGGGCCAGGAAGAATCCATGAGGGTAATGGCCGAAGTACATGAAGGAGTATGTGGAGCACATCAGGCTGGAACGAAGATGAGATGGTTGCTTAGGAGGTATGGTTAGTTTTGGCCCAACATGGAAAAAGATTGCAAGTCTTATGCCCGAGGTTGTGAAGAATGTCAAAGGCATGGACCTCTCCAGCATGTGCCCTCGGTACCTTTAAATCCAGTGGTCAAGCCTTGGCCCTTCAGAGGATGGGCGATGGACTTCATCGGGCAAATCTATCCAGCTTCTAGTAAAGGGCATACCTTCATAATTATAGCAACGGATTACTTCACCAAGTGGGTGGAAGCATCAGCAGTAAAATCCATAACTTCAGCCACAGTCAAGAATTTTATCGAGACTAAGATTTTGCACAGATTTGGGGTGCCCGAAACTATAGTGACGGATCGTGGACCATCTTTTATTTCAAAAGAAGTTGAGGAGTTTGCAAGTAAGTACAAAATAAAGATGATCCAGTCCAGTCCGTACTACCCTCAATCAAATGGCCAGGCAGAAGCCAGCAACAAGATCCTGGTCAACATTATCAAGAGGATGGTGATTGATAGTCCAAAAAAATGGCATGAAAATCTGGGGAACACTTTGTGGGCATACAGAACTTCTAAGAGAGCAGGAACAAGGACAACTCCTTATGCTTTAACTTTCGGGCAAGATGCAGTGCTCCCCGTGGAAATCAATGTAAGTTCTGTAAGAATTCAAAATCAATTTGGATTGCATAGTGAAAAGTATATCGAAGCCATGTGTCAAGGAATTGAAGACTTGGATGCTGCCCGAATTGAAGCTTTGAACCAGATTCAAGAAGGAAAACGAGCCGTTGCCCGAGCTTATAACAAAAATGTGAAGATGAAATCTTTCAAGGAAGAGGATTTAGTATGGAAGACAGTCCTCCCTCTAGGAGCTTAGCTCAGGGGCTTTGGAAAATGGAGCCCGACATGGGAATGTCCTTTCATTATTAGTCGAGTTTTGGATAGATGGGGATAATACTTGGCGGACCTTGAGGGAAACAGGCATAAACATCCCATTAATGTTAAATTCTTAAAGAAATATTGTCCTACGTTATGGGATGTCAGAGATTGTTATATTGAAGATGATGCAGGGTAAAGTAAGCTTCGGGATATCAATGTGCAGTGTATATTTATCAATCATTCAAGAAGATGGAAAGACAAGAGTTGCTGAGATAATGTATATTTCATTTCGACAAATTGATGAAATTTACAAAAGATTCAAAGCCGACGTATTACAATCAATTCTCCTGCTGGATGCAATGGTATCTTCAGCTGATCTTCCGATGTCTTCATGGATGGAACCCGATCAGGTGATCGAGTTGTGCGGCCAACATGAGCCTCGTAGATGATCCTCAGACGGGACCATCACCATAGGTGATGGTCAAGCCCGACTTATCACCGCAATAAGCAAGAAGACAAGCCTTCGAGAGGAAACCGTCTGACCAAGGGTGTTGGAGATAGCGGGGTGTTCGACCAAGGGTGTTGGAGATAGCAGTCCTTTGATGAAAGCCCTTTTTCTCACGGAAAGGGAGTTTTAGGAAACCCCACTCAAAGCCTAAGGAACCATTTTCTCAGTTTCTGAACGCTCGAGGAAGATGGAAGAAAAGGCTGAAGAGGATTTGATGGCTTGACAGAAGAAATTCCGAGCTAGAATTTATAGAGCCCCAGAGGGTAGTTCAAAGGTCGTGAGAAGAGCAAGGGGCACGGGGTTGCCTTCATCTTGTCTAGAAAACACGAAGTTCCAAAAGATTGAGATACACGCATGCGGATATTCAATCAATGATGGCGCCTGGGATTCCAACCTTAACATTAATTGAAGGGGCACTGTTTGGATCAAAACTTGAAACTTTGGGCTCAAGAAATGAGCTAGCCCAAAATGAGGCCCGAAGGGAAAGATAGCCGAAGCCTAGTCAAAGCTCAGAAGGCAGAAAGGGCATTTTCTGACTTGGTGCAGCTCATGAAAACCATTTGCTTACCTACCCAAAGGCTAAGTGGTATAGACTGACCAGCTACACAACCCATAAAAGTACTTTATGATGGCAGTACATGTAAAAAAGCTGATGAGTCATCACCCTTCAAAACCGCATTCTGGCAAGGTTGCTGCTACAGGAGACCAAGCCGAGTTGTCTATATAAGAAGAAAGAGAAACCAGGAATAATGACACTCAATCAAACAAACAAATGTAAGCACAAACTCTGCCCAAAGCCAGATTTGCCTTCAAAACGAAGCAGTAGTCAGCCCAAGCATTCATCCCTCTCAGGACAAACCTTCATCCCTCGCTGGATAAACCTTCACTCAAACTCTTGTAATAGCTCTGCTACCTTGTTCAACCTTGCTGTAGTATCGATTCATTTTTGTAAATCTCTCTCCCTCCCTGAAGCTTTCATACCCTTGATAAACCACAAAGATAGGAACCTGCAAGACGACCAAGCTTGCCTGACAAGGTTAAACCTTGCCCGACCTTCTTTGTTTTTGTCTTTTCATTCAGTAGCCTAGCAATATGTTGTATGTTTCCAATTATATTCAAGTAGTTATTTCTAGCAAAATGACTATTAAAAGGCTTTCTCAATACTTGGATCTGATTTGAATATATCTTCAGTGTTCAAACCAGATCCAAGTCCTAAGCCCTCGGGCATGTAAATCTGATTAGTTAAAAGTCCTTGGCCTCAAGGCATAAAAAAGAACCTTATGTGGACGTAACCCATCCACGACAAGCCTTGATAAACGAGAAGTCCGAAGTTACTTGGGGCGCAAGTAATCGACCTACCTCTTAGTCTTATTGCTATTACATTATGATTATCATAGAACGCTTAAGCATGGGGAAGGATTCTGATAGGAAGCCTCAAGGCCTACACCTAAGGCCCCACGAAGGCACCTATTTGGGTTCATTCTACCTCTCGGACTCAGGTAATCAGAAGTATAATAGTTATAAAGACTCATGCATTCACGAGAACAAATATGATGTGTTCGAACACTGGTTTAGTTAGGTAGGAAGCCTCAAGGCCTACACCTAAGGCCCCACAAAAGCACCTATTATAACTAACACGGTTTCTCGGGGATATACATATACAACCAAAACTCGACATCTATTTCATATCTGCCATACTAAGATGGCAGTGGCACGCCTGAGCATTTAAAAGTTAACCTTGATTGTGAGCCTCAAGGCCTACACCTAAGGCCCCACAAAGGCACCTCTCAAAGTTAACTCTGTCATTCTCTTTTAGCCTTGCCCGACAAGCCTTGCCCGAAGAGCCTTGCCCGACGCGACTTGCCCGACAAAGCCCGATAGTGAAGCAGAAGCCCGACAGCAGCCCTCAACCGGCACCAACCTCCCGGGGAGCTGTGTGCTCGTCGGCCAGGAAACATCCCCGACGAAAATTCCTGACGCGAACAGCCGTATTGTACTTTTCTACTTGATCGTCTCAAAACAAGAATTTCTTTACAAAACAACAAATTTTGTTCTAATCAATATGCACTTGCCATGCCCTGTACAAGGCGTGACAGCACTACAACCCTCCCATCAAATGTAAGAAATTGAAGGATCTCAATGTTGGAAGCCAATGGATTCGAAGACTCGAGCAGTTCAAGAGAGAGATATGAGTTATTTAAGGGTTTGATTTTATGTAAGGTGGGCTAATGAAAATTTCTTGATAGAGATTTTTACCACCTGCAAAAGTAGGGATAAAAACACTAAAATACTTGCAAAAGTACAAAGTAACTGTAGGATAGATGGCTCTAGCAAGGTCGTTCTCTACAGAGATTGAATGAATAATCTATATTAAATCAAATCTTAATTAATTATTTAAAACAAAGTTTGAGAAAAAGTTGATTTTATGATTTAAAATAATAAAAACGAATTTAATAGAAAATAATTAAATAAAGTGATAAAATAAAATAAATTAAAAGAAAATATTTTTTGAAAATTAAATTGTAAAAGCCTAAGGTTCCGCCGTCACCTTAACAATTATATGTAGTTCTTTCAATTATTTATGAATTATATATGCATATTTTGAAGGTTAATTTTTTCTAATTTATATTCTACTTGGAACTTCAAACATAAAACGTATATCTAACATGCAATCCGTCCGGAAGTTCGGATCAAATCTGAACAATTATGCTTTATGAAAACTCTTTGAAAAAACATGTAACCCTTAGGATGTGGTGCTCATCTTAACTGAAATTACAATTATTAATCACAAGAAACCAGCGCCAATTTCAAGGAACATTCCGACCAAAATTGCATCAAATTACTTTTCTAAAAATCTTAATGGTAGCTAAGCATTAAAACAATTAGATAGTTTAAATCAGTGATTAATAATTCAAAATCTACCTACATAATATCATAAGCAAATTGAAAAGAAGCACTGGCTATCACTTGAAGCTTTAAAACCTCACTTTTCACTTCTCATTCTGTCAATTTGGTTCAAAGCTGGCCCAAGGATGTTGTAAAGCACCCAAAGTATAGCAGCAACAATCGGAATTAGGAGTGCGAGGACACGCTTGTCACCTTCTCCAGTCTCCGCAGCCACTACTGCAGCAAACGCAGAATCACAGGAAATCAAGGTGGAAACAACGGCGGTGATGATGGAAGTAGAATGCTTGGAGTTGATAGGAGACTTGAAGGATGTGAAGCTTTTCGGTTGATATTTGATGGAGGAAAAGGAAACAATTTTCATGGTTGGTTTGTAAGTGATCATGTTTTTGGAGGACTTGAAGGTGAAGCATCTGTGGCTGAGCGCAGCCATAGAAGTTCCTATCGTTGCAGCCATACAAGCTTTTTAGGTTTGGAGACTCCGAAATGAGAACTTATGGTATATAAACTGGTTGCAATAGCAATTCCTAGAATCCAGATTCTTCTACACAAGATCAGTGAGATTTATTGGAGATTCTAGGCTCTCCCGGCCGATTTTTTGCCCTCTTAGCACTCGCCACGTGATTTGACGTGACTAGTGTAAATGGGGATGAAATATATTTTCGGTTGTATGTTAGAATCTCTGACATAAAACGGGAATATACAAATGTGATGGTGTTATGGTGTTTTAAACCTATTATGACGCAACGTGTTTTAACGTATGTGTTTTGGCATTTTCATATGACACTGCGTGATTGATTTAAACACCACAACCTTAACGTCTCATTTCACGTTTGCACTATATTTATCGGTTTTATCGAACCGTTAGTTGAAACTAGTGGTGAAAACCTAGTGTCTGGATACCTCCACTGTTTGCAACCTTCACCATCAAACTGTCGTATTGTACTTTTCCACATGACCATCTCAAAACAAAAATTTCTTTACAAAACAACAAATTTTGTTCCAATCAATATGCACTTGCCATGCCCGGTACAGGGCGTGACAGCACTACAACCCTCCCTATCAAATGTAAGAAATTGATGGATCTCTATATTCGAAACCAATGGATTTGAAGACTCGAGCTGTTCAAGAGAGAGATTTGGGTCATTTGAGGGCTTGGTTTTGTGTAAGGTGGACTAATGAAATGAGTTAATGAGAGCCGCAATATTTAAATTGAATGGTCCGGATTCATAAGATGAATTATGTCCATAACCAATGCCTTTTGCTTATAATAATCGAGATATTAAAGGCCACTCAACCACTTTATTATGTATTATTTATGCCTTAATCATTAATCCTATTAAGTTTTTCATTTTTGAGTGCTGATGTCTAAAATGTTTTCAGGCCTTCTCTTATGCACGCTTCAAAGCTAATTTGTGATACACAAAGTTACATAGGCATCATTTTCAAACTTGTATTGTGATACCAAATACATTTTGCAATTTTGTAACACACAACACCAACACACAATGAACAACTCACATTCCAAATATGAAACACATTCATTAGTTTTTTTTTTTTTCATATAGATTACTGTTACACATGGATGACCTCATATATATATTTTAGATGCCCAAAATGAGATACCACCACAATCAGTAACACTGCATATGGACCGAGATTACCATATGCATACACCACCAATCACTCTATGAAAACGCAAACTCAGACCATTCACTTCAGACCTCGTCAAATTGCTTTTGCATCTAAGTGTTGGTACGCTGGCCTCTTCTTTTGCTTGGTAAACTGAAAATTTGATTTTGACAAGTTAAACAAATTAGATAAATTAAACTGCATAAAACTAGTTAAAGAACAACTCCTATTAATTTAAAATAGACCCTAAAACCAATCATATTCTTAGTTGAAGCAACCCAAACGCAACTACAAGACCAATCCAACCAATTAATTAGAATGAATAATGTACCCCCATTACCTTATGATGAAAATAAAGCTTATCATCATCCACAATTTCTTTCATGTAATCATGTCACTTGTCATAAGATGGTTCTCTATATATACATCAATGTAGTAGCTTCTACAGTAAGTAATGAAAGCATAACAGATTTTTGCAATACTTCTCTCTCTAAGATTCTCTCTCTCTTCTTCTTAGAAGCAAGATAAATAAATGGGAAGAAGATTTTGAAGCGTGGCAAGAAATTGGACAATGTCCAAATACTATCACTAGTAAATTAGACTCTTTAGTTCACTCCAATACCTAAGATTGAGATAACATGCTTTATATAGGTTGTGACAAGCGTTAAAGTTTATTCTGAGCACGATACTTGTTTTAAACTTGGAGTGAACTAAAGATTTTTAAAGTAAGTTTAGAACAAATTGTGCTCAAATTATACTTTAACGGTGCTCAAAACCTGCATAAAGCATGTAATGTCTACCTTCATACATTTCTTATTTTCTTAACAAAAACAACAAGCATGCCCTTGTTTTGAAAATTCCCTCACGCACATTTTATTTTACAAATGAGTGGCTGAGATTTAAAAAAAAAAAAAATTGGGCGGATGGGCAAAGCTCTACCTTTTTCTTGCTCATTAAGCTTTGGGCCTCTTGCTAAATTTTGGACTTCCCTTGTCCGGCTAAACCATAGGGTCATATTTCTTTTCCTTTGTAATTCAGGCTTAAAAAAACTCATTAAAACACTATTTGAGTGTATCGGAGATTCTCGGCTCTCCCGGCGGATTTTTTGCCCTCTTAGCACTTGCCACGGGATTTGACGTGATTAGTGCAAATGGACATGAGATATATTTCCGGTTGTATATTAGAATCTCTTACATAAAACGGAAATAACAAATGTGATGGTGTTATGGTGTTTCAAACCTATTATGACACAACGTGTTTTAACGTATATGTTTGAGCATTTTTATATGACATTGTGTGATTGATTTAAATATCACACCCTTAACGTCTCATTTCACGTATGCACTTTGTTTATCTGTTTTATCGAACCGTTAGTTGAAACTAGTGGTGGAGAACGAAGTGTTTGGATACCTCCGTGTTTGCAACCTTCACATCAAACTGTCGTATTGTACTTTTCCACATGACCGTCCCAAAACAAAAATTTCTTTACACAACAACAAATTTTGTTCCAATCAATATGCACTTGCCATCCCCGGTACAGGGCGTGACGGCACTACAACCCTCCCATCAAATGTAAGAAATTGAAGGATCTCTATGTTCGAAGCCAATGGATTCGAAGACTCGAGCCGTTCAAGAGAGATCTGGGTCATTCAAGGGCTTGATTTTGTATAAGGTGGGCTAATATAATGAGTTAATGAAAGCCGCAAGATTTAAATTGAGTGGTCCAGATTCATAAAATGAATTATGTTCATAACCAATGCATTTCGCTTATAATAATCTGAGATATTAAAGGCCACTCAACCACTTTATTATGTATTACATGCCTTAATCGTTAATCCTAAGTTTTTCATTTTTAAGTGCTGATGCCTAAAATGTTTTGAGCATCAATGCTTTTTAAATACTTGAAACCTTCTCTTATGCAAGCTTCAAAGCTAATTTGTGATACGCAAAGTTACATAGGCATCATTTTCAAACTTGGATTGTGATACCAAATACATTTTGCAATTTTGTAACACACAACACCAACACACAATGAACAACTCACATTCCAAATATGAAACACATTCATTAGTTTTTTTTTTTCATACTGATTACACTGTCACACGACCTCGTATATATATTTTAGATGCCCAAAATGAGATACCACCACAATAGTTACACTGCATATGGATTGAGATTATCCTAGGTATACACCACTAATCACACCACCAATCACTCCATGAAAACTCTAACTCAGACCATTCACTTCAGATCTTGTCAAATTGCTTTTGCGTGTATGCTGGCCTCTTCTTTTGCTTGGTAAACTGAAATTTTAATTTTGACATAAAGTTAGACAAATTAGATAAATTACACTGCATAAAACTAGTTAAAGAACAATTGCTATTAATTTAAAACAAACACTAAAACCAATCATATTCTTAGTCGAAGCAACCCAAACGCAACTACAAGACCAATCCAACCAATCAACTAGAATGAATATAATGTACGCCATTACCTTATGAAAGTTTATCATCATCCACAATTTCTTTCATGTACCCACATTCTAGTATTCTACCATTTCTTCTTGTCTTGAACAAAACTATATATTTAAACATTAAAAAAATGGGTACTTTCTCGGAAATTCTCGGAAAATATGTAAGACTGAGATGATAGAAGCAATATAAATAAATGGGAAGAAGATTGTGAAGGGTGGCAAGAAATTGGACAATGGCCAAATACTATCAATAGTAAAATTAAACTCTTTAGTTCACTCCAATACCTAAGACTGAGATAACATGTGTTATACAGGTTATGACCAACGTTAAAGTATACTCTGAGCACAATGCTTGTTCTAAATTTGGAGTGAACTAAAGATTTTAAAGTAAGTTTAGAACAAGCATTGTGCTATTATGTTTTAATGTTGCTCACAACCTGCATAAAGCATGTGATGTCTACCTTCATACATTTCTTATTTTCTTAACAAAAACATCAAGCATGCCTTTGTTTGGAAATTCCCTCACACACATTTTATTTTACAAATGAGTGGCTGAGATTTAACTATATACCTTTTAGTTAACCTCTAACCTTTTACACATAAAAAAAAAAAAAAAAAAAAATGGCCGATGAGCAAAGCTCTACCCTTTTTTGCTCATTAAGCTTTGGGCCTCTTGATAAAGTTTGGACTTCCTTTGTCCGGCAAAACCGTAGGGTCGTATTTCTTTCCCTTTGTAATTCAGGCTTAAAAAACTCATTAAAACAATATTTGAGAGAAGCTTTTGAAAAACTATTGAACGCTTAAAATGTGGCATTCACCTTAAGTAAAACAGGCCTTAGCCAATTTTACGGACAACCCTCCAATCAAATTGCATCAAATTATTTTTCTAAATATCCTAATGGTAGCTAAGCATCAAGACAAATTATAGTTTAAATACGATGATTAATAATTCAAAACATACATGCATAATATCATAAACAAATTAAAAAGAAATTACATATTCTTGCTAGTACCCGTTTCATGTATGCACTTTGTTATTTGTGTCAAACACCCTCATTTTCGCCACTTAGTACTACGGTCTAATGGTATTCCTCTTCAATTGTAAGTGAAAGGTCTTAAGTTCGATTATCGCCAAATGCAAGTTCGAAAAGAAAAAAAAAACACACACCCCCACCTTCGTGTCAACCTATCGTAATGAACTTTGCCCGCATGATCATGTTCCCCATATTGTGCGTGTCAAACATTAATCGGAGAGGTAACACAATCTCAACAAAATGAAAGAAAGAAACTAACAATTAGACCTGTAAACGGGTCGGGTTTATTGGGTTTGGGTCGGGTTGAACCAGACCCGTTAAGTTAACGGGTCATCCGAACCCAACCCGTTAAGCTAACGGGTCATCCGAACCCGACCCGTTAAGCTAACGGGTCACCCGTTTCACCCGTTAACAAT